GGGAGTTTGCCCGGTTCTTGTGGTGCTCCCCTCCTCCCCTTGCCCCAAGGCCACAGCTCCCTCAGGGTGGGCCTGGGGTAGGACTACCTGAGAGGAATGGGGCCGGGCTCCTGCTGCCCTGCCGTCTTCAGGGGTTTCTGCCAGGCTGGGAGCAGGAGCAGCCAGGTAAGCCAGGGCGTAGCTGCTCCTGTACCGACATGTTGGGTGCGCCCAGCCCTCCCCAGCCCGCTGCTTGGCACTGAAGTCCTCGAGCCCTCTGTGGAGGGGGGAGAAGGCTGAGGTAGGAGTCCCATTCCCACCTGTACCCCACACTGGCTTTGCAAAAGCTTGGGACTGGCTCCTCAGCCCATGCGGCTTGTGCGTAACCCTTGCACTACAGGGAAAGTAGAAGATCCTTAAAGCCAGACACAGAATGCTGTTTTCTGAAATGAAGCTTTGGTTCCTTACACTAAGCCTAAGGTGAAAAGTCTCCAGTTACCTGCTTTGTGCAGTTAAAGCATGGGAGAGGCTGCTTGTTTGTTTGTTTTACCTGTGAAGATGTGTACAGAGGAAATCCTGAGAAACAGGAAAGCCAGAAGGTTTAGAGGAGATGTGCATGGAGCTAGGGTGGGTCTCCAGCTCAGGAAGGTGTCCTCTGCTTTAGGGGAGCTGGGAATTGCTTTTATGGCATACTCCAACACCACCTGAGGCACAGCAGTGAGACCCTGATGACAGGCGATACCCGGTCCAAGTACATGAGCCTGGAGGATAGTTTCTGGCTCTGACCGTGTTCTTTTTCCTTTCAGTATAACATGCCATACTGTGTAGACTGATGCTGCTGGATTTCACAGAAAGGGATCATTTTGCAGGTGATCCAAAGAAAATGAAAGATTGCACAGTGTAGGTTGAAAAGTGTTCCCGTTGCCTGTGGTGCAGAGATCTGATCCAGTTCCTGCTGGGAGGCTCCTGGCAGGTAGGGGCCCACAGCCAGACCCCCAGCTTGCTAGGTCTGTCACTGTCTAGTTGGATGTTCAAGCAAGTCATTGACTTCGCTGTGCCTAAACCTTTCCCTCTGTAAATGTTTATCCATCTGAATTGGGATCAGGAAGCCCTGGTCCGTATAGGAGAGCTGCTGTGCTCCATGGGTGTTGTTGGACACCTGACATCCCTTCCATCTCTGGCACCACATTCACACTCTCCTGATGATGGCTGGCTGAGTTGACTATCATCTGAGGGACTTCAAGATTTTGTTGTCTTCCCTGTTGGGTTTCCCTCATCCTGGTCAGTGTCTCTGCTCCCACTCGTTCTCCTTGACTTTCCTCTTCCAGATTTCATCCTCATGGCGCAGGGCATTCACATGCATGCTTCCAGGATCCAGTGGGGCCTGGTGATGTGCTTCCTGTGCTACTTTGGCACCTTTGCAGTGGAGTTCAGGCATTACAGATTTGAGATCGTTTGCTCTGAGTACCAGGAAAACTTTCTGAGCTTTTCTGAAAGCTTATCAGAAGCCTCGGAGTACCAGACAGATCAGGTGTAGCCTGTCCTCTATCACGGGGGAGGGGCGGGGGGGAAGGGGGCAGGTGTGGTCTCATGGGTTAAACATGACCTCATTTACACTTTTTGGATGAGTTTGTTTTCATGTGCAATCACGATCCTATTGCCAAAGGGCTCTGAGGGTGGCTGTCTCATTAAGAGCCAAACAAAAATACCTGTCTGCTGGAAGAGGAGTGGATCCTTCTCACCAGCAGCATGAGAGAGCACAAGCTGTTTAGTTTGTGCTATCAAGTGACTTTTTTGGAGCGGCTCTGTCACACTCCTGTTGTTCAAAATATTCAACAGTCAGTCCTTGCCATGCCCCTCTGAGACAGGCACACCTCAGCCTGTTCTGCAGAGGAGGAGATGAAGGAAACGGACTTCTCCGGGCACCAAGAATCTTCAGGAGATGCCGGTTCCTGAGTCACCAGACCGCATCTTTCATGTGCTTCTTGTGTTCTTTTCTTTGCTGCTCACTGGTGTAACTTGGTAGGGTGAGAAAGAGCGGCTGTTTCTTCTGAACTTGGAATCGGGCAGTGGAGGACCCCAACTGACTGGCTTTTATGGTGAGCAGGCAGGCATTTCTTCCAGCCTGGAAAGCAGCTGACGGTAAAGCCAGGTTTGGGAGAAACTACACTGTGATCAGGAAGCGAGATTAGGCCCATGCTGCCCTGTAGCTGGGCTGCCTGTCCCCAGGCCAGAGGAGATGGCACCATGGGGTGCTGTGCTCGGCTTCATGTTCCAGACTCAACGGTGGGGAGTGGTGGAAGCGAGGTGCCGACTTAAGATGAGAATGTCTGTATACTCTGAAGATGACCCAGAAAAGGCTGCTCTTTGTAAGTGTGTAATGCTTCCACCACATATCGTGTGTAATATTTCAATATTTCAGTATTTTTTGTTCACATTGTGTTAAGAGACACTGGGCTTGCCTGCAATGAGAACTTAGAAGTCAAACTTCAGACACTCTGACGCTAGGCCTGAGCTCCAGCCCCCTTGGTGTGACCGGTTGTCCCGAGTGGAATCTGTCACAGGTTTAAGTGGGCTTCCAAAGTGCGGGGAAGCAGTTCTGCCCCAGAGGATGGGTGACAGCAAACCTGAAGAACAGCAAAACCAGAAGCTTCTCCCTCCCTGAAGGGAGGTTTTCAAACAGAAGGTCTGTTTTCGAAGAAAAAGCAGGAGCTCAAAGCCCCTGTTTGAAAACCTGATTCTGGGAAGGTTGCTGGTATTGGCTGGGTAGGGGAGCGATGGGAGTTGCTTCTCATGAATGTGGCTCCTGTTTTCCTGTACGAGTCAGGCTCAGCTTAGGTTTGCAGCTTGTGTGAGCTGCAGGGAGATAAGCAGAAATTAAAACAGTGGCGAAAGGCATTTGAAGGGGAACTCGTACTGCACTGTGGCATTTCTGACAGAGAGGGGAAAAGGTATGAGGGCATTCAGTCTTCTGCAAAGGTCAGAGACCTCGCCCAAAAGGAGAAACAGTGGAGAAAAACTTCTGTCCAAACTAAGGTAAATAGAAAGCTTTCAGCCAGCCCTTTATCTTCTGTGGGCCAAAATTTGTTCTCGGGCAGCTGCGTTACAAGTCCAGAGCATCTCAAATTCAAAGGTTGGACTCAGATGATCCCACAGGTCTCTTCTAACCGAATCGATTCTGTGATTCTGTGATCTCCAGCCAACAGAGAGTTGTCATTGGACTGCTGAAGGCCTCCTCCTTGTAGCTGTGTCATCAGTGGGAAGGTTTCTGGGAGGGACGTGCTGAGGGTGGCCCAAGGGTGCAGCAGCATAAGGCACAGGGCTCCCCAGCGCCCGTCCGGGCAAGGGCAGGGGGAGCACAGCCTGGAGAAGATGCAGATCCTCTTACACAGACGCACACACTCAATGCGTATGGAGCACAAAATGACTTGTTTTAAGGGTGTTTTACTGTAAATAGTCCACTGTGACTTTGTGTGTTGTTTTTTTTTTAAAATCAATTAATACTCTCAGTTTATGATTTTATATTTTGTAATTTTATCAAAGAAAAAAAAAAGATGATGTTTGTGATCGATTTTTTTTTTTTTCTTTCTTTCCTTTCCTATATGCAATCCAAACTGAACTTCAGGGTTTTGGTGATAACTCTGTACATTTCTTAGAGGATTTCTAACAGCACATTTCAGTACAAAGAAATGACAACTGATACACACTGAAACATGACCGCTTAATAAAGTGCTTTTTATGGAGAAAGTGAGTTTTATTTTTGTCCCCTACCCCATGCATAGCTTTCTCATGGCAAAGGCAAAACAAAACGTGTATTTACAGTGTCATGATTAAAATTATCACTCAAGGAAGCCAGGGGACTATTTGGCCATGCAGATAAACGTATTGTAACAGTGCTAATTAGCAAGCTTGTTCTAGGAGGAGGATCACACTCATTACATGGCCCAGAAAGGCATCCAGACCAGCTGCCTCGCAGCCTTAACCTGCTACCATTGAAATTTCAGCAGGGCAATGCTGACATGATGTGGTTTCCTCCCAAAACGCCTGTGTCTTGCTTATTCTCTACAGAGCAGCCTCCCTCGAGAGGGACAACCGTAGGCGTAGATCAGAGCTCAGGAAGGCAACATGCCCGTTAGTATTCTATTTTGGCCGTGCATGAGGGCAAGCTCAAGCACAGCCACGCAGAAATAAATAGCAAGTGTCACCCATGCATGAAGTGCCAGCAGCAAGGACCTGAAGTTTCAGACTGGCTCTGCCTCTGTCATTACTGGGTATTAACCTAGCTGGGGCTTTCACGTCCGCGCCCTCGCTGAGCTGCTACTGAAATCGTAAGACAGTCAGGGAGGTAATACAGCTTCCTCGGCAGGACAGGGTTGTCTGCCTTAATGACAGGACCGGGGAGGGTGAAAGCAGGAAAACAAAGTGTTCACAGGTTTAAAAAAAAAAACAAAACCCAAAGAGATTTGCCTTTAGGTGCTGGGATCACTGGTGATAGACAGGAAGGCTAAATACTGGGATGGAGTGAACACAGTAAAAGCAAAGTTGTGGTTTTGTTTACTACAGTAAGAAAAGCTCCATGACCATCTGATATAAATTGGCACCATTTAGGTAGGGTGGGTGAAGAGGTCAGGGTTTTCATTCTCATTAAGCGCAGCAGGATGTGTCCCTCAGGAGCAGTTGTTCGTCAAGGTTTGCTCACAGCTGGGCAGTGCTGTGACTGTGTGCCAGGGTGATGGCAGTGACCGAGAAGGAGCTCCATGGCTTAGCGCTAAGGGAGATACTTCAGAAACATGGTTGGGCTGACTTTAGCGTTCAGCCAGTTGGATCCCACAGCCCAACATCACGACGCAGCAGTGAGGTGGGGCTAGAATTTAGTTTTAAAGCTATATTTATATATACTTTACTTCATTCTGGTAGGCTTGTTGTATTGCTCTGAGCTTCCATATGCAAGTCCTACTGTTTTGTACCTAGACCTGCTGTGGATAAAGCCAAGATTTAAGTTGTTCCTGGTCTAAAGAGGTTGCCTGCAACAAGGGCTGGCTTTTTCTGTGGCAGCCCAAACCTGCTGTATTATAGCCCACATTTAGCACTTTCCTTTGGGTATCCTAACCTCCCCTAACTTTTGACTTTCAGCCAGCAGGACTGGCTATCAGTCTGCAGGGAGAAGCTCATATCCCCTCATGGTTACCAGAGGTCCCTCTGGGACCAGGAGGACATACACCTTATTTGCAAACTGTTTCTAAAAATGATGGAGCTTGTGGTGGGGTGTCTCAGCACCAAATTTCAATGGGTGAGTCTGAAGGAAGCATCCCCTGAGCTAATTGTTAGCTGGGAAAGGGGAGGAACAGCAGGGCTGACGGGTGCTGTGCCTCACCATGTTCCCTCTCCAGCTGGCTGCTGCACAAGGGACCCCCCCACACTGTACGCTCCATCCATACCTGCCTGCACTAGTTGCGAGTCCAAGACATGATGTGGGTTTGGTTTTAAATTCTGATTATGGACAAAATTACCTAACATTACACAAAGACAATTCAGGTGAAGCACAGTATTTTGTGCGTGCACCGCTTTTCCTAAGTGGAGGAAGGCAAGAAAAGTTCAGTGAAAGAGGAGATGAGGCTGTAATATGATTTCTCATCATCCGTCAGTCCTGCATTGCCTGGTCTGATCACCACAGCCACGTGAGTATCTGCTTCCTCGGCCGCATTGGCTTCTGAAAGAAACAGAGGTGGGGAGAATGGAGATGAGATGTGCTTACCGACATCTCCACAGGAGGGACTTTAAGGCTTGAAGATGCCTTAAAACACTGAGTGCTTTTAAAGGTTGAGACTGAGAGCGCAGTGTTTGCGCATAGCACTGCAGGGTTCTAGAGAGGGACCAGATCCTGACAGATCTGCTGTGGATGACTGTAGCTGCCACGTTAACACAAGGGGATGGGCGCTGGCTGCCTCGCCATCTCCTCCCCTCTCCCAGCTGATGGCTGTCCAAGGCATCGTGTGGGCAGCACGCACTGGCAGCTCGATCCCTATCATGAAGAAGTTGGGCTGGGGCGTTAGCGAATCCAACATCCCCCCCGTGCTGGGAGTCACTTCTCACAAGCCTCCTTTGCTCCCGAGCACAGCAAGAGGCCAAAGGAAGACGATACAGGGAAAAGGAGGTAACTGCCAACTCCCACCAGTTCTGCTGCCAGGGCTGGGAAGGAGGTAAGGGCTAACTCCTGGGGACTGAGCTGGCTTAGACTGAGATCACAACCCAGTGCCATTTCTGCCAGAAAGACGTTTCCAGCAAAGGCGGGAAATTAAATTAGCTTCCTGAGCCTGGCTTTCCAGTGGTCAAGTCTTGGCGACCAGGAGCAATGGCTTCCTGCTATTGACCACAACCTAATGGTAAGTGGCACAAAGAACCAGCCACCGCGTGTACCACACAGCAGCACAGCAGACATCGCCTGTTCCCCCTCAAGCACGGGTCACAAAAATCACTGGTCCTGTTCGTAAATGGGGCACGCCAACTGCTTCAGCGAACGCTTCACTCCGCTTTAACAGACTCTCTTGGCTTGCTGGTGCAAGGGCAGGTTTTCTACTTGACCTGTTTTCCCTCATTGCAGCCCTGCTCACGAATATCCCACTGCTGTGTAAGAGTTCGGATGTGTAAGGAAGGAACGTGGGAGCAGCTCAGGGGAAATGCCACCGAAGCAAGGGGGTCTGCAGCATTTCTGGGGTGTTTGTGACAAGTCAGCAGCACACGTTTAAAGAGCACTTCCCTCCCTCGCACAGGACTTGCAGGTCACCTACCTCGAGGGACATCCGTCAGGAAAAGGATGTTGTTGGTGGCACACCCAATACTGGCGGCAATCCTTCTGTAGCTCTCACTTTCTACCTTGGGGCCTATTTTGGTATCAAAGTGGCCATCAAAGAGCTGAAAGAGAGAGAAAAGCCAAGGTAATTGCTGAGTTCCACCTGAAGAGCAGGACTAAACCTCACTCCTGAGCAAGACGTCGCCTTTCTTTTCTACCGATGCAGCCATGCTAGCATGCTCAACCAGCTGAGTGTAACTCCCGTGGGTCAAACCCACTGCCCCACTCTATTCACAAAGCGTTATGGCAAGGGCACTTTGTGGGAGGGAAGTGCTCTGCAGAGGAAGAAGCTGTAAGGAAGGTGATAAGGTTATCTACCTCTAGGATATCACCTTCTGTAGAGTATCCGAACAGAAGCTTCTGGGCTTCAATGCTGCCCGAAGAGTAGATATAGACCTTCATCCCTGCTTCCCGCCACTTCCGGATGGCTGGAACCACGTCCTCGAAGATTCTGGAGCAAAAAAGGGCAGCAGGTGAGGGCAAATCCAGAGGTACCCGAAGGGACACTTTTAGCCAGGCACTGTGACAACTGTCCCATTAATTCGCAAGGGGACTTCATTCTCGATCTGCTCAGGGCTTCTACAACCGGGGAATCTATTTCAGGAGCAGATGATATATTCTTAGCTCCAGCCAGCTGAGCAGCTCATTGCCTGCGACGCAGACAGCACCTCTGATGAGCTGTTTCACACATTTGGCAGGAGTTTCTCCAGCCCCTTCAATTTGGAGAGAGAAGGAAAAGTTGGGGGGAAATGACATCCCGTCGCTTTTCTCTGTGAGGGAGGAATAAGGGGGAGGACAGAGAAGACAGGCTTTTGCATCCTGAGTCCCACCTGCCTTGCAAACTACAAAGGTTTCCCTGTTGGCAAGAACTATGGCCATAAGCTGCACCCATAGGTTCAGGCTCTGACCATGCGTAAGGAGGAGCTGAGAGGAGGTTGTAGTTACAGGAGCTAAATGAATGGCATGGTACAAACTGTCTGAAGCCAGGCAATAACTTGGGAAAGGAGTGTCCCCTAAGGGACTGAGGTCAGAGCTACTCTATTCAGCAACTTGGTCAGGTATACAGATGTGGGCCAGATATGTCCCTGGCTTAACTGCACTGCAGAGGGTGAACCGGCTCCCATTCACTAGGCAGCAGCATCTCTCCCCTTATTCTTCTGGCCTTGCAGAGTGCTGAGAAGGCAAGATATCGGTCTAGCAATGGGCTGACAAGTCTTAAAATGTGAGCTCCGTCTAACTCCTGGGTAGTAGCCACCCGAAGACAAGCCCAGCAGTGCGAAGCAAAGCTGTAAGAAAGGGAAGGAGGACCAAAGCCAAGGCAACTTCTAAAATGGACGTGTCTGTCAGTTCCCTCAGACCCTTCTAATTTATACTACGAGACACCTCCAGTGCTGCACTTATATGTATGTAAAGGCTCTTTGTATGCAAAGGATATTTACACGACGACCCAGGTACTGGGGGAAACGGAAGGCTAGAGGATGCTCAAGAGGGACAAAGTAAGGCTGACAATAAGTCCCTCAATAATACAGGTGATGGTTGATAAGGAAAGGCCACAAACAGTCTCGGAAGGGGCCTGGAGTTTGATATGGGAGAAGGATGAAGAGAGGAGCTGGAGAGGATGCGATCCCCGGGGAACTGAGTTTTCAGCCCACTCCAAATCGCAGCCTTCCCACCTGCGCTGTGCAAACTCTGTGTGGCCACTTGGGCCAAGAGCCAAAGGTACTGCCCCAAAAAGGGGCTCAGCACCTGAACATCTGAAGAAAGAAGACTCCAAATAGATTGAAAAGGAGGTGGTGGACTGAGTTTTGCAGACTTGTAGCAATCAGCAGGCCCTTTCTTCATCTCTAGTTTCCTGGCCATCTGCGCAGGGTCTTGCCATGTTATGTATTTAAAAAAAAAAAGTTCATTTTTTTCCATGGTTAGTTATTAAACATCTCTGGTGTCAGCTGAAAATATTTTGAGGTTGTACAGCACCTGCAGAAACTCCCAGCCACCCTCGTGTTTTCACATGCTGAGTTCAGTGCCTGGATTTCAGACACTGATGTGCCAGATACGGTGGGGGGGGGGGGCCCTTTCAAGATCTCACTCCGTGGATGCTGTCAAGCAAGGCTAGCTCCACAGTTTTTGGGCCACTATCAGACAATTAGCCCTGTTTTTAAAAAGAAAACCAACAGGAGGGCTGTCCCTCTTGACTTGCTTTTGGGTTTTGTTGCTTTCTCTGGTGGATGTTTACATTTTTCTGTGACCTCTGTTTCTTCTTCCTCATTCTTCCTTTGGCAAAACACTTTGTGAACTTAAGGGTTTGTTTTACTTCCTTAGGCACTTGAAATGCATAGTTTAACCAAGTATCTCTTGACCTAAATAAGAAAATCAGGTTTAACTCCAGTTGTCCCTACTTGTGTTGTGGCTGAAACATAAAGACGAGCCTGAAGACAAAAAGAAGTGGAAAGGCAGGAAACGCAGAGGTAAGAGACAACGCAAGAGGAAACAACTGAACTGATCCCTCAACCCTGGCTTGTTTAGGCTTATTTCAAAATGTGAGTGCAATTCAGGGATAAAAGATGCAAGATAGAGAACTCTAAGAAGTTCATACTTGTGCCTCAGTCTCTTGGGTTACCAAGAAATCTCTGCAGAGAAATATTGAGATATTTTCTGAATTTTTAATGCAGAAGATAGGTGTGCCAAAAGAATGTTCTGCCGGCCACGGGAGCAGAATCGCCCCGTGTCACGCCTCCATTACCTTGTTCTGTTTCTCAGACCTCATCTCCTTTACAGACCCTGCCCAGGTGGCTGGAGAACTGGCTGTTCCGCAGCACGTACCTGCCGATTATTCCTTAAGGAGACGCACTCTCACCCACTCATCATCTTCCCAGTGGTGACCGAGACAACTTGGTCAGTCCTGAGGTTACCGTAAGTTTTCAGTTCCCTAGATCCAAAGATGACGCTTAACGGACTTGTGTTTCACCGCACGATCAATGAAGTGTCTGCAGTTGGTTCCGTGACAGCAGTGGCCTGGCTTAAGCCACAACTGAACGTAAACTTATTGGTTTCTTCACCGAGGTAGTAATCCTCTTTGCATTTGTATGTGGGGTTGCTCCCAGGAATAGCTTATGCAGCTACTCTGCTAACGGACATCTTGGAAAGATGCACCCCATACCTGCCCCAGAGAAAGGGGGACACAATTACTCACACACAATTACTCACTCTCCTTTGACGTGCCCGGTTGCATAGGCTGCCCTCCACATATGACCCTGCAGCTGCTTCAGTGCCGTGGTTTTCCTGTCCAGAGACATCTGCCAATGTACGTTGTCAACGATCGCTTGGATGACCCGCTCCAGCTCCTCTTCTCCGCTTCCACTCTCCAAAGGGATCGGCACAGCCCCGTCCAAGCTGGAATCCTCCTGTGCCTGCAAATCAGACGTGATAAAAAGAGGTGAGGGAAGAGGTGGAGTCGTCTCAACATCTCGATTTAGGAACGGGGTCTAAAGCCTGCATGAACGCACCTCTGTGCAGGACACGTCTTGAACTGCTCTTCACATGAAGGGTTGCAACATTGTTTGAATACTTTTGTCAATGGGAAATGCAGACTTCAGTAGTTTCTAGAAACACTTGCTTGGATTGTACTTTCCAAATCCAACAATTAGCACTACCATAGCTGTATTGTAAATAGTCTAATGAGAATTACACTTGTTTAAGCATTCAATTATTGAAATTAAGGCAAAAAAGCTGTTGGCTTCAGACAGCCACAGGTCTCAAATTGATGCCATGTCCCCGTAAAGAGGCAGGATACACTGCCCTGTGCAGGACAAATACTCTGCCATCCCTCTGCTTCCCAAACAGGCACCTGGAAGCCGCAGGCAGCGGATTCAGCAAGAGAAGGGCACAGTGCAGGCACAAAGCTGAAAATCCACGGTGCAATGCATGCTCGGGGGCTGTGAAGACCAAGGCGAGCTGAGGGAAGCAGCTGGGCTGCTGCCTACCAAGCATCAGCCCTTCACTGAGCACAACCCCAGGCTTTGGGTGAGGGAGAATCAGCCTGTCGAGGCAACCGGCCTCCGTGGGGGGCAAAGAGAGGTATGGACTCATGTTGGGTGACTGGGGGAGTCCCAGTGACCTGAAGCCTCAGGCATGAGGTGAAAACCCAGAGAGACACGGTGTAGCTCCGTTACTTAACCTGTTTTCTCAGAAGTCTGACGTCCCGCTGGCACTCCTCCTCCTCCCAGTGAGCACGCAGATACTCCTTCACATTGTCTTTGATGTAAGGGAACAAGGTCTCCTGGCAGCACATAAGAAAAACAGGCAGCTCCTTTAACCTGGTAAAGATAAGGCTGACTTGCTTTTAAAGAAACCATTTGCAAATGCTGGGGTTATTTTCTGTACTTCTCCTACAGTACTGCAGCTTGTGAAACCGCCTGCCAAGGATGCCTGCCTGGTCCCAGGCCAGAACCAACTTGGACCAAGATTAGTGCAGGTGGATTTTTTTTGCACAAATGCTTATGTAGCCACAACTTTTAAATCCTAGGATGGAAAGGTGGGTGCTAACTTTTCCTGGGTTTGCCAAAAAATGTCTCAAATGGCAGATGTGACCCCCAAGTCCCCATCAGCTGAGGAGTACAAGGCTGACTGTGTATGTGCTCTGAACTGACAAGTTATACTACTCTATTTTTAATGTCCTAACGAAGGTCGTTCTAAAAACACATCTCAACTTCTCACCAGAGCTACAGGATCTTTATAAAAAGAAAAGTCCAGCCCAGCGACACTGAGCTCCATAGGACAGTCTTGCAAATGAAATGAAATGGGGTTAGGGAAAAGAGCCACAGCAGAATCACAAACCTTCCCGGAGATCCCAAGGACAACCAGAAATATTTACAAATTGCTCTTATTAGTGGTGTTTCACAACTGAGAAGATAAAAACAGTTGCTGTAACAGCATCTCTGGGTGCAGGAAGAGCCTCAGGGCAAGAGGAAGGGCAGGGAGCTCCTTCCTTTGGGTACAGAACGGAGCTTTTCTTAACTGAGAAAAAATTGGGATGGGGAGGAGATGGGAGGAAACTAGTCTGAGCTCATCACTCCTCCAAAAATGGCCAGTGATACTTTTCTCCTCACTGTATGTCACCTTTAACTTGTGACTGAATGAAGAAAACAGTGGCCCTGAGAGCGTGACGTGGTGATAGAACTGTAGGATTTTCTATTACTCCAATATTGCATTTTCCACGTTGTAGATTTTAAAAAACATGTGAATTTAGGGGAAAGGAAAATCTCTTAAATGCCTAGAAAATTACCACAAACTTGTCTAGGGAAATCAACAGCCTTGTAATACCCCCAGTTACTCTCTTATTTCCTTCACTTGAGCTTAGCTGCTTTCAAACTATCTTTTAAATCATGAGAGAAAATTAAAGAGTATCCACTGGGAAATGCAACCGACCCGCTGACTTGGTTTAACTTCCCTTACAACTCGGATGTCAAAAGGTCCCAATTGCTTTCCAAAAGCAGCATTTCGTGCTCTTGTGCTGCCAAAGAAAAACTTCCAAACTCCAGGCCCCGAAAGCGCAGTGTATTCCACGATTCAGTGGATTTTAGAAGGATAAAAGCCTTGGCCCACTGGCAAATGCATCGGTCTGTGGTCCAAGAGAGGACATCCGTGTGACAGCTGGAGTGGTGGACAGTTGGTAGGACAGATCGTTTATGGATGTCAGGAGTGATCCCAGGTAATGACCTGCTACGTTTTAAAGGCCATGAGTTTGTGTGGAAGGAAGACTCCCTGCATCCTGCAAGGAAACACCTTGCATCTCCAAAACGTCAGCTTTCAGCAAAAGTTGGCGGCTGTAAACTCTTGACTAGGTTTAACTGGCACTGTCACTGACCTTTATAAGTTCACCCACTTCTCTTTTATCTCGGCTAGCAGGAGCCCCGAGCCTGCTTGTGCACAGCTCCCACCTCTTTGTCCATCTCCCGCGCGTGCCAGGGAGATGGGTGCTATCACCCACTGCACTGCTGGGCTCCTCGGCGATGTCCAGCCCCAGATGTGGCTGCCCCAACGCAGCTCGGCAGGGTGGAGAAACAGCCCTCGGCAAACACAGCTCAGCAGCCTTCCTAAGCCTTCGCAACTGCTCCCAGTAATGTTAAACCCGGTATAGAAACGGGGGGTTGTTTTTTTTTTTTTACACCCACATAATTAGCTGTAATTAGTGCTTGTAGGATTTCAAGCAACCAGGGTGAATTTTCTTTTCAATGTCCATGCAAATTGTCACAAAGTTCAGTGACAATCTCTCTTTTACAGGAGATCTGGTAAATCCCAGGGGATGTAGTTTGTTAAATTACATCTCTCCCCTGCCATCTACTTTTCTCTGCCAGGGTGGACCCATCAAAAGAGAAAATTTGGTGACCTCTAACTAGGGGCCACCAAATATTCTCTTTTCTGGTGTCTTTCCTTAATCCACCCATCAACTGGTTCATTCTATTTCCTTACTTTGCATATTTAATAATTCTAATACTGAAGAAAGGATTAAATAAAATCCTTTAATATTAAAGAATAAAATGTCTGCAGAACCAGCAGTGGATCTTTTAAAGGGAAATAAAAATTACAGAGGTTAACTGAAAGTCCAAGTGGAATAACTGGTTTCAAGCATTTTCAAGACTTCCAGCAAACTGAGTTTTATTGAGAACCCTAACTCATTTGGCCTCCTTGCAACAGAAAGATTTTGGGTAGGAAACAGTCTCAAGCGTATTGCAGGTTATTTGCACAACACCAAAGTGGATTTAAGGTGGATATAACCAACTTTGTGGCTCTGTTACATGTTTAGTAAGAAATCTGAGCCGTTTAAACTGTTTAAATTGAAAGATATCGAGGGGAGGGAGGCAGCTGTAATGCCATCTAGACCTGAAGTTTCTTCAAGAGCACTGGAAGAACATGGACGGGAAAGATGTAGGTCATGCTGTTCATGTGTTAAATTGTCTTAGCAGAAACGCCTCGAAAGCCTGGCAAGAGCCTTCACCCCGCTGCGCATCATGTGGGTCACAAAGCACCTTTGTAAATTACTGGCAAAAAAAGATCCACTAAAACCTATAATGTCTCATGGAGAAATACAGGTTAATGGTAGGAGCAGGGACAATTCTATTCGGTGTCTTAAACAGAAGTAAATCGTTCCCTCCTGTGAAGCACATGAGCCTGGTTAGGGACCAAAACCTCTCGGAGAGGAGAGGCCCGCAGCGGCTGGAGAACTGCAAATTTTAATAGCGTATTTACAGCGTTTGTCCCGATGTCTCCCGCTGGCCTCGTAGATTTTTCCAGTCCCCTGGTTTCTGCACCTAAACCGACATTTTCAATAGTTTTAAAGCCTTCTCCTGAGCAAGGGAAACCACTCATGTTAGTAGGATTCTCCTCATGCAAACTTTACGGGCTCTATGCGCTACGGTCCTCCCGTCCTGGTCCTGTGCGTGCTGGAGGGAGGACAGAGGTCTCTGGTGCCACTGGAGGGAGGACAGACATCTCTGGTGACACTGGAAGCATCTTTGGAAGGGAATAGGCAGCGGATAACCCGGAGACGGTACTTCAGGTTCTCTGCAAACGTGGGTGAGGTGCTGCAGCTCCAGCCATCGCTGCAACAGAGATGCTCGAGGGTTTTTCCTAACGAGGCCCAAAGCTCTCCGATTGCCTCTCGGTCTAAAAAAGAATCATTTTCCTCAACTGCCCGGAATCGGAATAGTTCCCTGTTCCCTCCTGCCCACAACAGCGGTAGGCGATCGGTAAAATCAGCCGTTATTTTCTCGTCAGTATGACTCAGAAATAAAACCAAACCCACAAAAAATGTGTCACGGTTTTAGGCTTCTAGAGGGAACTCCGGCCTGCCCCCCGGTCCGTCCGG